CAACTATTTTACCATTTCTTTTGAATATCTTCAAGCTTTCGGATGGAAAACAAAGTTACTTGATAAAATTTCTAATTACCGGCCGAGTGTCTTCGCGTAGTGATTACAGGGGCAGCAGCGGGCTGCAGGGTCTGCGGTTCGTATCTCGCCTTGGGCACGGCTTTCGCTTTAGGGTTTAGAGTGTCTCAGCACTAATGTACTGATCTTCGATATCCTATTCATTCTCGGACCTCTCCCAGCCTTGTGAACATATAAATGTGTGGGATGAATGTAGCTGCGAGAGTGCGATGGGAGAAAGCTCTGCAATCGCTTACGAGCCTCAGGAGCAGGAGTAAGTAAGTAAGCCGCAATGGAATGTACCACCGCGGAGGTACGAAGTGGAGGCTAGAATCAAGAGACTCTGGGGTGTAAAACTCCAGTGGTATTAATTGAGGGCAGGGAACACTAGCGGATCGTTAGCAATCGAAAGGTTGAGTTGATTGTTTGACTGCTTGCTTGATTGATTAGTGATTCCGGGCGCGTCAACGGCTAAGGTCCCGTAAGTGTAGTTAATGTTTTTTTCTCGGGGGGGGGCAGTGATCTTCCCCCGTTGGAGGTGGGATCCGGCGCCGACCTGCCGTCGGCTGGCGAGGTTTTCCCCAACCAGGTATCTCCCACTAGTGGGACAAGATCTCAGCTCCCGACCTATCTCCCGGCATGTGTGGTAGTGTAGTGAATGTGAGTGTCAGTGTGTGTAAGTAAGGGGAACAAGGAAGAGGAAGGAAAGATCGCGCGCGGTTTGTGACCCGTTTGTTAGGGTACTGCTCCGGCATTCCCCTGGTGTCGATCAGAGATACGACGGAAAACTACCAATCAGAGCAGCCGGCCGCTAGCAATCTCCTTTAGACCGTGACAGAACTCGACCAAGCAACTAGTGTCGAAAATCATGCCACCGATTGGGCTCGAACTTAGAACCTCCTGGTCAGAAGCATTGCAGTAACATCAGTGGATGCCATGAGTCACCTTTTGAAAGATTGAGTTGACGTAAAACATGTCCGATGATTTACATGTAACACGATAACTATCGCACATTATAACAATACACATTCGACCCAATTGTCGAAATTTCTATATTTATTTTGCAGATTATTGCGTTCGAGTCCACCTACTGTTCTGCTTAAATCAGTAAACCGTGTTTACAACTAAACGACACATCCGCTGTTCTTTTGCCTGCCGCGCCGTTTTGCCCAAAATAGACTCAAGTAGTTCGCAGCGCCGTATGTGCGACGAGCCTCAAAAAAGTTTCTTTTAGACTGGGAGTTGACACACCTCTCGTGGTTAGGGATCTTATCTTTATGGTATCCCACTGAAATACTCGACTCCACCGCGAAAAAAGGGGAAAAAAGGGGGGGGGAAACCGAACGAATGGCTTAAAAAAATTAATAATTGTTCAACTTATTAAGTCTTGGAAGGGTTTTTATATATACACAATTGTTTTCCATACAGAGTTCATAATATGGAAATTACGTTTTTTACATTGTACAATTACCATGAACATTTCGGAGGCTACTGATTTTAGGGACCTCTAACATGCATACAATAATTTTTATATTTTTTATATGCATTTAATAATTTGAGTTGATACATGTTTATAATTTGAATAATTATGTACACAGTTTGAAATTATTATCAGCAATTTGTGGATGATGTAACAAGCCTTTGGCATGAAGGGTTTTAATTCTTGGTTGTGGGTAAGCTGATTTTCAGAGTAACAATGTTTTAGTTGCAGGACATAAGGGTAAGTTAGTATAGAATTTTGATGCTAATTTAGTTACCAAAGTTTTTAATGGTCAAATAAAATAGAAAGTTCCTGATGTATTTGTTTATTACTAATGAAGTAGGGTGCTTTTAACGTCTACTAGAGAAATTTATTTTCATTGACGTGATATTTTGCAATTGATAGGAGCTGTACCACATCATATTGGACAGGCATATGTAAGAGAGGGCTGAATGATGCACCTAAAGCTGGATAATGACATTTATATGTTAATTTTATAATGTTTATTTATAAGGGGTTTTAATTTTAGCATTTTAATAAATGTATTGCTTGCTAATTGTGACTTTCCATGTTAATTTTTTGTCAATTAGTAATCCTAAATGTTTGGTCGGGTTGTAGATAATAGCAATTGTGTTACTTTATTGCTTAAAATTAAAGGGTATATATGTTTTTGTATTTTTAGTGACAATACCTTTGGTTGGTATTTATTACAATTAATAGTTATTTTCCATTTTTGAAGCCATTTAAAAAGTACGTTTAAGTCAGCTTGTAATTTGTGTCTTCCTATTGGTAGGTCTTTATGAGAAGTA